CGGAACTTAACCGTTTATCGTCCCCAAATGAATGGAGCTGTAAAAGCCGCCAACAAGAACATAAAAAAGATTTTGAGGAAAATGATTGATAATCGCAGAGGTTGGCACGAGATGTTGCCTTATGCTTTGTTGGGTTACCGAACGACTGTCAGGACATCAGTTGGAGCTACTCCATATTTGCTAGTATACGGAACAGAAGCAGTTATACCTGCAGAAGTTGAAATACCTTCATTGAGAATCATCCAAGAAGCTGAATTGAGTGATGTTGAATTGGTTCGCAAACGGATTGATCAGTTAACATTGATCGATGAGAAGAAAATGGTTGTTGTTTGTCATGGACAACTATATCGACAGAGAATGATTCGTGCTTTCCATAAGAAAGTAAGAGCTAGAATGTTTGAGAATGGGTAATTGGTTCTCAAACGTATTTTCCCTCACCAGGATGAATATAAAGGGAAATTTGCACCAAATTGGCAAGGACCCTACATGGTTCGCAAAGTGTTATCTGGAGGTGCCTTAGTCCTGTCGGAGATGGATGGCACTGAATGGCCAAAACCGATCAACTCAGATGCTGTCAAGAGATACTATGTGTGAAACTTTAGTTTGTATTTTCGTGTCATTTCCTTGTAATTGTTCTATTTGTTTGTAATCGCGTCGTTTTAAATTTTTATCACTCTTGTAATGAACTACGTCTGACCTGAATTCTCAAGAATGAGATACGTAGGCGGCCTATGTCGGCTTCGGTCACTCCTTTATCCCTTTTCAATATTTCTTTGTATTTGAACTATGTTCGACCTGAATTCTCAAGAATGAGATACGTATGCGGTTTATGTCGGCCTCGGTCGGTTCTTCGCTTAAATTTTCTATTTTTGTTAATCCTCGAGGAGGAACTACGTTTGACCTGATTCTTGCCTCAACGGGATACGTAGGCGCCACAAGGGTTCGGTCGTATACCCAGTAAGATTTCTATTTTCCTCTACAATAGAAACTGGGGCAGAATTTTTGGGAA